ACAGTGCAGAAGCCATGTTGATTCTTCCTCAGTAGGGTTTGTCCTTCTATGTGATAAAAATGGACTAGATCCTAACCAGGCAGAAGCCTCTTCCACCAGTAGAAAAATCTCCCTTCCCACTGCAACCTCACTTCACTACTCACATTGTTCCTAGGGTTCAACTGCCAGAGGCACAATTTTAGGGGCCAGAACAGGCTGCAAGAGGAGAGGAAGGTAGGAAATCCCATTTCTGTTGAAGTTAGTGCATTGATGGAAGGAAGTACCCACTCCTCTGTCTTTAGCAATGCTTTCTACCAATGCATTTATTTATTTAGGCTAGTGCCATGCTGCCTCTTCCAAGTCCTGCTCCATCAATGACTAACTGGCCTTAGACTATTTTCCTGGCTCCCTTTTTTAAAAAAAACTGCATTAAATTGCCCACTTTCCAATCATGTAATAAGCAGAAATTTTTTAGTGACATTTACAATTTTTTAAGATCAATTTTCATTTCAGTTAAGATTCTGCAGGTACATAATGTCCAGACCTAGTGACTCATTTTTTTTCAGCCCAAGAAACTTCATTTTTACCATCTCTGTTTTAAACGATGTACATAAATTTTATTCTGTTCTCAAGAACAGAAAAAAATGCTGTTGAAGCACCCCAAGATTTTACATGGTGAAGACCAATACAAAGGAGACCAATACAAAGAATTTAGCTTCTTTGCAGTCACCCGATCACCCTTCACTCCTTTGTTGCCTAGTACCTCCCTAAATGGGTTACCTGCTTAGTGTATTTGAGAAATGTTTCATTGGCTGTTCAATTTTTTTTTAGTGAACCCCCCCACACACACACACATTTTTTATTTGTCTTAGTTTCAACTGACATTGTTGTGCCAGCATTTGTTCTTATTTGAGTAAGCTTCCACTTTTTAAAAGAGGAATTCTAGGCCTTTTATAGTTCCCTTAACTTGACTTGTTAACTACCTCTGATGATACCTTCCCTAATCTATAGCATATATTAGGTCTGAACGTCTATTACAGTGGATTTAAAGAATGTCTATGCTTTCTGGAGAGCATTTAACCACTTGACTGCCTTTCAAATTCCCCCTAATTCTGAGAAAATTCCTCACCCCATATCAAAATGATAATTTTGTCATTATAGCATTCAGAAATGTTGCGGGTCATGACCTGAACCTGCTTTGATATGATAGTTCCTGAAAGATCATAATTAAAGTGGGTTTGTCATCATGTGGTAAAGCCGCCCTGTCCACACCCAGAGCTATTCCCCACCCCCACCCCACACACAATTCCTTCAAGCCCGCCAAACCATACCACCACTGCCACCTGGAAGCTCCTTTTGCTGGCTTAAAAAAAAGTAGTAGGTATATTGCTATAGTGTCCTCAGTGACTCGGTGAAAAGCCAGGAAACATCATGGGAGGAGGGACCATGGCTCAGTGGCAGAGTACCTGCTTGGCATGCAGAAGGTCCCAGGTTTAATCCTTAGCATCTCCAGTAAAAAAAAAAAAAGCACCCGGCAGCAGGTGATGTGAAAGCCCACTACCTGAAACCCTGGAAAGCTGCTGCCAGTCTGAGTAGGCAATAGTTTGATGGACCAAGGGTCTGATCCAGTATAAGGCAGCTTCATCTGCTTATTGGGGGTGGGGGGTAGCAGGCACAAAGAGAGACTGTGGAGCACCTTTCTCATGTGGACACTGCATTGCCATTGCAAATGCCTCTGCATTCAAAGTGGCAGTGAAAGCATCACAGGGAACTGTCCCCATGAAGAGGCAAGGAGTTACTTTTGACCTAGTATTTCCATGCATAACTCTGTTGAACAGTTTGATCCTGTTGAATTTTTTAGATTTTTGGATTCTGTGCTCACTTTGACATACACTGTCTGTTCCACAAGCTACGCCCACTTTACTTTCTAATTCAGCACCAATCACTTTAGCTCCCACATCCTGGCTTAGAAGCTTTTACCATTAACATCTATATATTGCATATTCCTTCATCTATTCTTTGTATGCACATTCCCCCCAACAACCCTTTGATCTCCTTTAGCAGTTGCCATTTCCTTTTGTATGCTCACTGCCAAATTCTATCCTGCCTACATTAGGTGAACAGGAACATTTGCACTATCCACCCCTCCCCCGCAGGGATGAGTCACCCTAAATCAAATGGTCTCCAGCTCCTGTTTGCTTCCCCAGAAGATGGTTAAAGAGATGCAAAACAAATATTTTGGTATTAAAACCTGTAGCCTAGATCTGTTTTGAGTTCAAGCTGAGCCCATCTCCGTTGCACAGGGTCATTTTGCCCCAAAGAATTCTGTAGTGACTAACAAATTTAAGCCTTTCCACCCAACACCAACATACAGACACTTCTGAGCTGTACCTCCATAACCGATCCTGCAAGGGGCCAACAAGGGAATATTTCTGAAAATAGGGAGGGGGGGGTGTTTAAGAACTTCAGTGTCCAACTTAACAGTAGAACTATTTTTTAAGGACCTCACAATTACATTTCCTAATGTCACTGTCACCAACGTGCACCATGATGGTCAACTCCTCCCCATATCATCTACGTGGTATGTGATGGCCGCATGTTTTGCACTAGGTAAGGTTTAGGTCACCATGTGGTAAAAATTGCTATTATAAACCACATTCTCTTTATTTCTGCTAGAAGGCCAGCTGTTTTAAGGGGGTAGCTACCATCTCTAGGATATTAGTAGCATCTAACTTTTACACACTGGTAATCCTCTCCCTCAATCTGGTGCATCCAAAGGAGTTAGGAGAATGAAGAAGTTTAAAGTGTGAGCCAACTACAGTATCATAGTTGCTGTTGTGGTTGACATGGAAAGCACCTTGAGTGGGGCACACCATTAGCTAGATGAAACAGAGTTTTAAAAAAGCTTGTAAAGCATAAGTAGGAGATGAAAAGAACAAAGGAAAAGGTCTTCTGTTAATTCTTGAAACAAGGAAGTTCTGGTGCTTAGGAAAAACAAATATTTTAACTCTTATGTAGTGGCTTGGAAATGGGCAGTCTAAAGATAGTCTGCTAAACCTTGAACTACTTTCATTAATGGGATAGGAAACTATAACGTTGAAATATAAGTGCTATGTATTTTTTTCTCATTTAACGCAAACAAGAGATTTTATACTGCATCACTAATAAGTTCATAAAATGGGTATCAGTCATACAGGCAGAATAAACTATAACAAACCCCAATTGTGCTTTGTAGGCCACAGTTTTATGGTTTTACTTGGAACTGTACCAAATGCGGGCTAGGTTAATAGTTTATCATTGTACTCTAATGGGAAATACTCTACCGGAAGCAATATGCTAGTCCTGCATCCTTTCTAGAAGAGATAAGCTTCTCATTACATTTTTAAAGGGATGCCTAAACATATTTCAATAGATTGCCAATAGGAAAGTCAACTCATTAGAAGAAGTAATATTTGCTTCAGACTTTGCACATAGTTTATATCGATCATTTAGGCGGCTGGTTTCTTAAATTTTATACCATATGTTGAAAATATTTAGAATACATCTGATGTCCTCATAAAGAAGAACATGTACAACCACTCAAGATTATCTAAGAATATGTTAATGAGAATAGGAATGAGAGAAATAAATTCTCTCACTCTGGTGTAAATCCATCTAATCATTAAAAAAGCTTGTTTGACTGGTTTAGAGGCCAACATAGATATTACAAGACAACTACGGCATTCACAGTCCTGTATTTCCCCTTACACTATTTATTGTTGGGGCTGGAGGCATTTATAGGGGAAAATAAAACAGATGGAAGGGATTATTTTGCTCTTTTAACACCCAACTCAACTCTACAAATGCTCCCTCCATGCACTTCTAAATATTTTCACCCATTCAGTCTCTAAAATTTAAAGTGAGAAGGCTAGAATGGGTCTATGTAGATGGGGGCTCACAGCACCAAGCAACTCCAATCGAATTACATGGGACATACACATTTTCTGTAATTTGAAACAAAATTCAAGGGGCGTAGTACTCCCAAGAGCACTCCTTAATATATGCAGGCAAATAGCTTATACCCACTTCTTTAGGGAAAAGCAAATCTTTGCTCTAGGAGGCAACACCACAGTGGGATAAAACCTAACCATCAATCTTACCAGCACTTGTCAGAGTGCAATATACTTCTGTGTATAAATGGCACAGGTACATGTTGTGCTCCTCCCCAGATGCCCATACAACAGAAAGGCTTCTGTCAACATACTTCACACCCGTCACTATTAGCTCGATTTCACTACCACTTTGTATTGTAAATATATTCAGTCACACTCCTATAAAGTATTGCCACAAAATGAGGCAAAACCATGGCATGGTTTTAATTGTGTTAAACGTGTACCTTGCCTTTACTTAGGAAAATCCAAACAACTTCGAGATCTGTTAATGATAATTCAGCTATACCGGAAATAATTCACTTTAATTTGCTCAACAATTTTAGCTGCCTCACAGTCTGCAAGATCAATAGCTTTGACCCACCAGAGCTTTTCCATGGGTAGAAGAATTTCCACTTGCAAAACATGACCTTCTTACTTCCTCCCTCCCACCACAGCTCCAAATGACCCTCTGGAGGGGAGAAGTAAGAAAGTTGTGCTTCATGGCCAGTAATCTATCTGCTCACCAAAATGTGCCAGTGGACCCAAGACAATACTTTGTATTTCACAAAAGCAGCTAAGGGAAAAGGCAACTGTTATTCCTAGCAATATTCTCCTCATAAGCTTTTGCTACACATTTGCCTTTTGGAGGCAAATGCATAGCAAAATACATGTTCAGACTTTCGATAATCAATAATGCTGAAGTGAGAGCTCAAGTTAAGGCAGACAGACAAGCTCCATGATCCTGCTTCCTCTCCTCATTTCCGATCTGACAAACAACCCCTCATTGATCTGCCTGCAGAATATGCTAAAACATGCCTCCATTCCAGGCATGTTATATTTTCTAAAGCATCTCATTACACAAAATATGCCGTGAGAAATATTTTAGGGCTGTACTTTTTCTTTTTTCAAAGAGAGTTGAAAATAGCACTGCATTACTCACTGGCTGGTCTTCCATGAAACCTCAGCTTATTTAAACCCAGTTTTCTTACAGAAACATTAAACAGTTCAAGAGAAGGCCTTGTATGATCAAGAGCTAGGTCATCAAGACGGGGGGGAGGGGAACCTATTTTAAAAGTTCTACTGTTTCTAAAAGAATATAAAGGTCCTAAACACTGCTGTAGTACTGTTCCAGGTATCATGGACATGGTAGTATTTTTACACAACTTTATTTTAAAGGAGGCATATAACGAAGATCTATGTAGTTCCTACTCACCCTTTAGCTATGTGATTCTCACAGACTCATGTCTTTATCATAAATCTTGCAATCAACACAGGTCTTCAAAAGGACCATCATACAGAGCCAAAGCTGTTACATTTACTTTTAACGTGTGTTATAAGAAAAATTTCAACCTTTAATTCAAATTGGCCACACTGTGCACATCAAACGAGCTATATATCAGCACTCACTGAAACAAAGCCACAAGTGAATATACACAGTTTTATTTATACATTTACTATTTTTGTCTATTTTCTTTGCCTTCCATCAGTCCCAAGAGCACCGCTTCAGCTTCCAGTAAAGTTGTATCTGTTTTTGCTCCCAAGAATCTAGATGAGAGTTCAAGGTCAATCAGCCTCAGGCGGACTTTGGTTCCCCTCTGGTATTTCCTAGGGAAAAAGGGGAAACAGTTGTTAGCACTATGCATGCTTTCATAAGAACATAAGAGACGCCAAAGTTGGATCAAGCCAAAGGCCCATCCAGTCCAACACTCTGTATCACACAGTGGCCAGAAATACCAGTGCTATCAGGAGGTCCACCAGTGGGGCCAGGACATTAGAAGCCCTCCCACTGTTGACCCCCCCAAGCACGAAGAAGACAGAGCATCACTTGCCCAAGAGTCCCTATCTATACCTTGTGGCTAATAGCCACTGATGGACCTCTGCTCCATATGCTTATCTAATTCCTTTTTGAAGCCGTCTCATATCTAATATTTTTACACAACTTTATTTTAAAGGAGGCATATAATGAAGATCTATGTAGTTCCTACTCACCCTGTAGCTATGTGATTCTCACAGACTCGTATCTCTCATATCTCATATCTAATATTTTAAACCTGGCAATAGCTTATACCATGTCCTTCATGATCTTCAATAAAACACTTTAACAAAGAAAGCAACTTTCACCCTATTTAATCCTGGTTAAGAATCCAACAGGGTAATCCTAAACAGACTTACATCCTTCTAAGCCAATTGAGTTCAATGGATTTAGGACTGAAGGAAACTAAGCCCATTTTGTTGAGGCATTTGCACTGAGACAGCTTCTCTTATTGAAATTAGGAAGATTTGCTTCTTCATTTTTGGCATACTACAAAAGGGGGGGAGGAGGAGGAGATTGGATTTATACCCCACCCTTCACTACCCAAAGGTGTCTCAGAGCAGCTTACAAACTCCTTTCCCTCACCCTCCCCACAACAGACACCCTGTGAGGTAGGTGGGGCTGAGAGAGCTCTTGACAGAAACTGTTCTTTTTCAAGAACAGCTCTTATCAGAACTATGGCTTGCCCAAGGTCATCCAGCCAGATGCAAGTGGAGGAGTGGGGAATCAAACCCGTTTCTCCCAGATTAGAGTCCGCACACTTAACCACTACACCAAACTGGGAGAAGGAGCATGTGAGCTTAACATCTAAATAAGTTTGTATCCACTGTGTAGCCCATGTTCAGCTTGGTATGGTAACACTGGACTTCCATCACACCAAATCATCACACTGAACTACCAGCTTGTGGTGCAATTTAGGGAAGTCACCATCAACTGATTAGCTGACTTTTAAGTAAGCACAGGATTCAGCTGTAAGGCCTTCTTCATTCAATATGGCGAAGTACATGTGGACAGGACTGCAGCTTCAGGTACTTTTCTCAAGGGTTTTTTTAGTCACTTGAGGATTGACTTCCCCAAAATTCTGCATTCTAAGGGCTTCTTGGTGGTTCAGATTCAAGCTCAAAAGGTTGCCACTGTGGGCCTATGTGGTGGAAAGGTGGCAGGATACAAGTAGAAAAACAACAAACGCTTCCTAATTCTTTCATATTGAAGAACCCAAAAATTAATTTATTATCTTTTGTTTGGCTTGGCTGGGGCTATGGAGACCATGTCAAGGATTCAATGCAAGAAAACTTAATTCCCTGTGCCCAAGGGGACTGTTTTTTGCCTTGTTTCAAAACAGCATATCACCCCAGATCCACATGGTGCATGGCAAAATGATTTTGAAACTAAGGGGCATTTCAAAAGCAGTTTGTGTAATGGTCTGAGTATCCTCCACGCAAAGTAAAAACAGATCAGCTGGGCTGGAGTAAGCCTAAGTGATGGTTTTGGATCTCGGCCACCATTTCCCCATTTCCTGTTGCTGTATGCGGTTTGGCTGTAACGCAGTGAAAGGGAATCATTTTGCTTTCTGGCTGTTGTAGCATTAATTCTGTCTTATAAATTTAATTTCAGTTACTACATTCTGATATGCAAAGTTGTGTGCCCTTTTCTATATCCTATCATGTATCAGAGCAAGCAACGTGGTAGACTAAGTATCACCATATAAAACCAACAGATGTAGACTCCTCCGCCAGCTTGGACTCTGTAAAACTATAAAAATCACCTATATTTTAAAAAGACAGTTTCTATCACATTCACCTTTAATATATGCATCACATCTATCTATCTACATAAAAGAAAGTCCCCTCACCGTAAAATCAGCACCCAGGCCAAACCGCTGGACCTAGAGACACCAAATTCGGGGAGAGAGCTCCTACCGTGGCATAGGTGCTCGCTAAGAAGGGATTTTTAGAAATTCGACCCCTAAGTGGGTCAAAAGGGGGGAAATGTGCTCCCCCCATTGATTCCTATGCAGCTGCTAGGCAGCTGCCTCTCTGCACCCCCCACTCTTTGATTGGTCAGCTGCAGAGCTCAGTGTTCTGAGGTAAAAAAACCAACAGTTACAGGGGATTGCAGACAGCTAATGACAGTTGAGGAAATAAGGAGTGGTCAAGAACCACCTGTGAGGTGAAGCAAAGCTGCTGGCCCAGCCTCTCTGATGGTTTCCAACACACTCCCTCCACCTCCTACACCTAACAGGCGGTTGTCTGTCAGGTGCAGTCCAACCTCCACAGTGACTTCTAATACTCCACCCCCTTCCCCCTCCTACACTGGCCAGGCAGCTTCCTGTCAGGTGTAGGAGAGGAGGTGGGATAGCTTCCAACAGGGGTCTTTTTGTAGGCTATTAGCATAATAGTTCATTAGCATATGCAGTGCCCCCTGACATCACCGGAAGAGATGTCAGAAGGGGAAGCAAAAGGGGGGGGAAGGCATCTTCAAAAGCCTCCCCTCCCCTGGGGGGGGG